ACACACACACACACACACACACACACACTGTATATAGGTAGCAGGTGTCATCTCAGCTCAGCCAAATGTACTGGATGAAATGCAGCACCGCTAACATATGGTCACGTTATGAGCGTGTTAACGCATCCAGCGGTACAACCTGACTCAACTAACATAGCTACGCTTTATTCAAAGCCAGAAAAAAAATAAGATGCATGAAACAGATCTCTTCTAGATCTTAGCTAACTACAGTGTGCATTTGACTAAAAGTTTAAACATTTTCCAAGAAATAAAGTGCCACTGAGCGTTCAGTGATTTATTGGACTGAAAATGGGTATGACATGAAAGGAGAAGCTACACTGACAGTCTGGTTCATTTCTCTGGCACTGATCAGAACTTTCTAACTGAAGTCATCCAGTTACTCATTTTGTCCAACCAACACTACAAACCCCACGTACAGTATCATATATTATATATATATAGATATATAGTGTGCTCTCTGTTCCTGGAGAGTAAAATATCTATTATAGCCTTTAAAAATAATGAAGACTGAAATGTTTTCAAAAATGATTTATCCAGCCTTGCTGTTCTTCTACATTTAAACCAGCCTAGTAGAGCTGATGCTGCAGTGAAGATAAAAACACTTTAGTGAGACAGTTTGACTTGACACCCAACAAATCCAGTTAGTGTCCCTTTTTTCACTTCTGTGCATCACCTCCTCAGTTCTCTGAATCTGTCAAGCACACACAGACACACACACACACACTCTTCTGTGAACCATACCTTTGTATTATCTGCACCTGTGTGGTGTAACTCCTGCATGGACAGCTTATGTGCCTCCCTGAGGAGCAGCAGCTGCTTGTTCAGGAAGCTCATCTGCTGCTGGGTGCTCTCGCTGTTGCTCAGCTGAAGGACACATGAGACAAACAATGACGACAGAGGGCAAAACAGCAATTACGCTACAAATCACATCTGTCCAGAAAGATCTGGGAAGACATAAACAATAAGCACTACAGGCTTAGTCATTAACCATCTCACTGAATCCATCAAAAATTTAACAACACGCTAGAGTCACACAAATATTTCATAATACAAATCACTTTGAGAAGGTAATTCTGTCTGAAACAAATTCTAGTTTATGGCAGAATTTACTTTGTGCACAATGGAAAAGAGAAATGTCATGCTTTACAGTCATTCTGTAAAAATTATCTTAAGAAATTAATCTCCAGACCAAGAGGTTATATGATACTAAACCATGATACTGAATGTCATTAATGTGGATGTTTAGTTGACTGTGTGGATGCGATCTGATTTGAACTGCCTGCTTCCTGAATCCTGCTCCTTGTTAATCAGGGCGTCAGTTCATTCTGGTCAGAGGAGGGAAACAGGCCTCAGACAAACCCCAGGAGGCAGAAAAACACCATGGCCCCCTGTGTTGCTGACCCAAAAACAGAGAGGAGGAGATGACATCTCCAAGGCAACCGAGCCCTGGGAAAATCAGCAGTTTACAAAGAGGTTGCAGGATGAGGATGGGGCATGTGCTGTTGTAACGCCCCAGGTCTGACCCCAATAATCAATTTAGCATTTTTGAAGAGATACCATATCAGACTGTGAAAATATTTTCAGTTTGCTGCAAAATGGTTAAACTCATACAATCTCAATAATTATCAAGTCAGCTGTCCTTCTGTCCATTTTTTATTAATCCATGCCAAATGCTTGAATAAAAAGATGAATCCAGCCAAACACTTCACATGCACCAAAGTAAGAGCACACAAGAAGACCATCAGGAGCAGGATTCTCTAACAAATGATGCCATGAATGAGTGACCAGAGGAGATGTACATCTCTCTGTGAGAGAACAGAGAACTCTCTTCTTGTTTCACTCCATGACTTCTCACCTCAGTGTTCACTATACCCTCGTATACCAGGTGGCAAATATCACTGAGCACCATGTCTCTTTCTGTAGCAGTCTGGTCATGTCTGAAAGCCATCGCCAGTATTTACCTAACAGAACTTCTGCCTTTTATTACTGGGCTCTTGTTTCCTGTATTTATTTTTGGCCATCTATTTACTGTAGTGTAACTGCACTTCTTCATATTTTCTGCAGTAGTATTTTATATGTATTTAGATTATATTCTGATTGACTTTATTTTGCTTTTTACACTGTTTTTTTATGTTCTAATGTATTTATCCACCTTTAAGCACTTTAAAAGCTGCAACAAAAATAAAACTGTCTTAGTTTTAATGACAAAACACCAAACAACAACAAATTTCACATCCAAAAAGGGAATTTAACTATATTTTGCAATCAAAGTGAAACAAATAAAACTAGACAGCATTCAGAGAGTGCAGACCTCCGACAAGGGGCAACTTGGTTTCCATAAAAGCAATATTATTCCCATGATAGCTTGACCCTCATAATTTGATTATTTGACCATGAAAACCTACTGCTGGAATTTGGAATGACACTGATATCATTATTCATTCACTCATTGGTTTAGGGGTAAAATGGGAACTTTAGTGAGTCGACCACAGGCAAAGCAGCGAAGATGTCACATTTCTGTAAGTTTGTGTTCTGCTCGTTCAATGGCTGTTTGACAAACTGCTCACACAGTCTTTGTTACTGGCTGATTGCATTGCTGAGTGATAACTTCACATCCTGTGTCTCCTCTGAACAAAGACTGACATGGAAACATACAGTGGGAAAACAAAGTAGGATGGTTTGTGTCAACCCGTGAGGCCAAGTGATGATAAGAAGCATGGCGCTTACTACTCATTAGGTTCTGACAGTGGAAACACAGCTACAGTATAGCGTGCAGCTCTAGAATTTCTTTACCTTGATGGTCATCTGGTTGAGTAAGTGACCAGTGTGGCAGACTTTGTTGTTGGCCCGTTGAAGCTCTGCCTCCAGTTCATCCATCTTTTTCTGACACTCCTGCAACTTAATCTGAAAACAAAAAACAGATTCAGATTTTTTTTTTTTTTTTAAGTTTTCTTAAACTGGTGACTAGATTCACCAAATACATTTGTATGTACTGATATTATCATTGTACTGTGACTGAAGCGGTATTGCATTTAAATAAAAATAGATACACTGGTGGATACCTGGGTGTGAGTGCTCGCAGTTGTGTGTGTATGTGTGTGTACCTGGAGCTCCTGATTCTTGGTGTAGTAGTCGTCTCGGCCCTGCTGCAGCTGTCTGATCTGACTGTGCAGCCTGGTGACCACTGTCTCCCGGTCATCCCACAGCTGCCTGTAGCGCTGCTGTTCAACCTGCAGACTCTCCTTTAGAGACAGGATGTCCACACTCTGCAGGTTCAGCTGGTCTTTCTGCATGAACACACGCAAACACACACTTCTCCTCTCAAAATGTTCATCTGGTCCTTTTGTGAGAGTGCAGATAATGAACACATGCAAACTTACCATAGCATTGTTCTGTTCCTCCAGTGCAGTAGCATTGATGATGCGTCGGAGGAGACGTCTGTTACGGACGGCGTGCTGCTCCCTCTTGTAGCGCTCGTACAGCAGCTGGTTGTGCAGCAGGAACAGCTGGCTGCGCAGCGTGTGAAGCTCGTCCAGTGGAGCCGATCCTGGGGAGGCCATTGTAATATTAGTGTCAATAACACAGTCGCCCATGCTACCAGAGATGAGACTATTCTGGAGTTGCACACTTAAATAATGATTAGTCTGCATATCAGTGCAAAGCTGTGATTTTGCTGAGCCCTTAAGGCTGACAGAGAAAAGGTGCAAATTATTTATCATAATCAATTTTATGTTATCTCGGTTTGTGTCAGGTCCATGTTACAAAGGGAAGATCTGCTGATCAATCACATACACAGAGTAGAAACAACACATTTATGAAAACATAAAACTGCATTAACATTGCAAAACCCTCTATAAGTGTCTTTTACAATAAAGGTTCATCAGCATTTTGATCAGGATCTGTATTAATATAAACATGACAGACAATCGTGGGATAGAGTCACTAGATATTTTTCATTTAGATTGGTGCAAAAGTTCATTACAAAAAATTATTAAAAGTAAACTTCAGATTCTGCACAATTCATCTTAAGAATGCTTAGGACTACACATTAGCTAACAAAACCTTTCAACCAATATATGCCTTCAACATCACTTAAATAAACTTTGCCTGCCTGTACAGGTCTGCTGCAATGCTGTACTTCCAGTTCCAAATTTCAGTGAAAATGTGTTACACTTTAGAGATATCCTGCTAACAACAAAGGGATAATCTGTGTGAACTTTAACTCGACAAAACTAGATTCTTTTTCAGGTTGACTGAGGAAAACAACATGAGAAGAAACTAATAAATGGACAACTTTTACATTTCTGAGTTTAACAAAATCTGCATGACTACAGGAAACTCAGTAGAACATCTTCTATATCCTGCTTGATAAGGTTTTAATCTGCAGTTCATGTCCCAGAACTCGTGATGAATCACTAGTCATGCCTAAATAATGCACTGTCTGCAGTCTTCATAATAGTTTCTTCTATCAGTGTACAACAGTGCTGTGGTGTGAGTGCTTTACCTCCAAAGTGCGTCCAGTCAGCTGATTTACTTGGCAAAGGTAACCTGTAAAAAGGACCGAGTGAAAGAACAGTTTATCAAAAGGATCTCCCTGGGATGTTTCTCTCTTAAGCTCTTTTTTCTGTTTACGACCTCTGCTACAACAAAAAAAATACTTTAATCAGCCATGGACAGGACAGATGTCATGGTACTACATTTAGAGACAACCTGGATCAGAGGACAAGTTAACACATGATAGTGTTGTAGTACTGTTTGCCATATGATAAGAGATCGTTTCTTTCCCCGGGCTATTACAACGATGACCAGCTAGTCTCTGTTTGCTCTTCTAACTTGTGATTTTTTAGCTTGTATATATTGTGTATTTATTTTGTTTTTATGTTGTGTACATTGGGGGCCATTGAGCTGGAGTCAAATTCCTTGTGTTCTTGTAATACTTGGCAATAAAGTTATGCTTATGATAAAGATGACAGTGATACATAAAGATCTATAAGGATATACTGAATATTATTTGAGAAAAATGCAGCACCTAAAATGTGAAATAAATTCATTTTATATTTGCACTATATTGTGGTATATAATTATATTAAGATGAAAATCGATGCATGAAAATTCAAAATGTCTGGGCTTTCTGAAACGCACACATATAGTTCCGCTTGTACACCTGTGTTATCATTTATATGTCCAACAACCTTAAACCAAAAATTCAGATTAGTAAATAAATAAATAAACAAACAAAACACACCACTACAGAAATAGTTATAATCTCTGTTTTCAATGTATTATCACAGGTCATATCAGTTTATCCTGAAGTTCTCAAATCAATATATTGCGGTTTATAGTTGTCTAAGAAGATAAGCTAAACTTGACACAATCTGTCATGGCACCTTTTGGGAAATACACTTATTTGTTGTCTTGGTCAGCATTACAGCACATCTCTGCAAGTTAAATACACTCCCCGGCCACATCATTAGGTACACCTGTACAATAGCAAACACTTCAATGCAACACTTCCACCTGAACATCTGTGTTTATGGAGCTCAAAATGTTTCTGTTTTTGGTCAAATTGTCATAAATGTATAAATTCAATGATATGTTTATTATTGAAGTCATAGTTAAAGGTGGTGTTGCACTGGACTACATTATATTCAGAGGTGTCTATATTTTTTTCCTCCCCAGCTACATACATGAAAGGGTCAGAACATTAGGAACGCCTCTGAATGTAGAGTGGGAACAACGCAGGCGGCTCTGCACAGTGAACGACACATCAAAACCCCACTCCTGAGTTTCTTGTGATCAACGTGCGGGTCATTCTGACAACATACTCACTGATCTAGAGAGCAAATACATCTGCCATGGCCACACAACCCTCTACATCAACAAAAAAGCGTTGAAAAATCTTAATCTACATCTGCTTTAAAAATCTGTGGTTTATGGTATCCACGATTTTGGATATGCCTAGGTGGTTAGGTGAATAATGACCAGTCTTTAAGCTTTTAAAATTCATTGCGTTCCAGTGGTATAAAGAGCAATTTTGCAGGATCACTCAGATTTGATATACACCTGTCTACACAATACCTGTACACAATGCATTTAAGAGCTATTTATAGCAGTTCATGTCAAACAGGCCACGTCTCAAAATGATGTAAAACTATATGGCATATAAATAAATATCTAAATTTTGGTGAATATTCCATGTTTCTTATGAGTATGCTTTGGTGAGGATTCATTCAAGATCTGGAGAAGGAATGTTGAAAAATAGCAGAAAACCAGTTATGGTGGAAATACTCATGGCTAACAGGCAAATTTAGAGTACCTTGAAAGGAATCCAGAAAACTTCTTGCACGGCTTATGGCATTCATAAACTGTCATACGTTGGAGTTCTCTGCACCCATCACTTGCTACTTGACTTCTGGTCCAATATTGCAACAAATTTAGCTGAAATCTTTTTAGTTCATTTGGACAAGTATCTTGTCAACTAACAGACAGACCTTTATCGTGGGCGTCACTTCCCGGCTGAACAAGGCGATCCAGCATCTCCAGTGGTGAAGCAGCAACCACCCCTTCCTCTTCTTTGTCTTCTAAGCCCTCCTCCTGCTGCGACAGCCTCTCCGTTGCCGCCTTGTGCACCACCTCCGACGTTTTCTGCCCCACAAAGAGTGAGGCTGCCCTGGGCAGAGCCAAGTCAAAAAACGCCTCATATGGCACCAGGGCTGAGGTCTTGCTGCACGGGCTCGGGGAGAACATCACAAATTTGCCCACCTCGTCATCTGGGGCAGAGGGGCTCTGGTGATCGATGGGGGTGAAACCTGACTGGAGGGACCAGGACTGTTCAAGGCTGAGAGCTGAATACCTGCTGTCTCCTCCTGCTCCTCCAGCTCCTCTTTCACTGCCAACACCACTGGCACTCGCAGTATTCTCTGCTTTGTCTGGTGTTGATACAACATTATGGGTGTCCCGGACGGGGCCTCCAGGATGGGTGATGGAGAGGGTCTTGCCTTGTGCCTGACAGCCAGTCAGTGTCTCAGTGGTGTGATAGAAAGGGGAGTCAAAGCCTCTCAGGACTGACAGCTCCTGCTTATCTTCAGTGATCTTCAGCAGCTCCTCAGTGATGGCAGCTGCAGCAAAAACAACATATGGATGATTGTGGTGGAGCTAAACCTGTATGCATGCTCTGAATGTCAAGGTCTGTGCTTAAATATTTCTGTAGTCACAATAAGAACAAAGTACCTGCTGTCTCACAGAAAAACTGAGTTTTAAGGACTTCTGTTTTCTCCTCAACAGAAGGGAAATGTTTAAGTCTAAGCAGCTGGCTTAAGCAACAGAGCTTGTGCCATTTTGGCAGATGCTTTTATCCAAAGTAGCTCATAGAGCTGTAGGTGTATTTAGTTTTAGTACAAGTGGCTCAAAAGCGATTTAAACCAATAACTGTGCAGAGCTAGCTAAACACAAAGGGATATAATGTAAACAGAGAAGTGCTAGCATCCTGGATATTCAGTCCAAGTCTAAGAGCTCAGGTTCATTTAACTTCCAATTTAAAATTTACATTCAGCATGATTTAGTTTTGGTGGATTATCTTCTTTAGGAAGAACACCACATTGTTTCCCATGCTGAGTCACAATGCAACTAGATCTAGTTCTAAGATCTGTACCAAAGTCAATGCTCACCCTCTTCCCTCTCTTTCTCTGTTCTCAGCTGAAGCTCCAGCTCCTGTTTCTTCAAGAAGACCGACAGCTCCGTCAAAGTCATAGAGACGTTCTCAGCAGCTCCTACATCTGATGAGTAAAGTATATATCACAACTGTGGATGTGAATTCGGTGAGAATGTCTCCAAAAAGCAAATGAAATCAAACAAGCCTTTGATAAAGTTAATTTAGGGAAGGTGGTTACAAGTTTGCACCTCATTAAGATCAAGACAGATGGGCTAATAATTTATTGTTTGGTATCACAAATAAACGTCTTCACAGTTCCACTCAGTTGCCAATAAAGGAGACCTGACCTGAGTACAAATGAGATTTATTCTAAGCTGGCTGGTGGGGTCCGGTTTTACTGCCACAGGTTTAAGGTCTAGGTAGCATTAGTGCATCTAATTCACCCTTCTGATTCATCCCAGTGCAGTGATTCCCAAACTTCGGTACTAGTACCACTGGTGTACACCAGAGGCTTGCTGAAAGGCCTAACAATCATACTCCAACTGGCCCAAGTCCTGAACTTCACGCTACAAAGATGTAAAACTCAGCTGATAATCATTTGAATATTCTTAAAATAAAATTTGCCTGTGCATAGCCACTTAGGCTGATGTGATGTTATGACCAACATGCATAACATGAGCTTGACTTTGTTCATTCATCTGCAGGCGAATGTAGGTGCCACAATGTCAATATTACTGACACGGTGCAGACTAGATTGATAAACAGACAGAACATAAGTTTGGTATCTTAGCCTGCTTGATTTTCATGACAGTAAATGTAACTTTCAGCCTGAATTCCATTCCCTCACAGTTGCACAGAGAGAGAGAGCTACAAGTGCAAATAGCTTTTTCAACAGTGATTTTTGTTCATGCTCTAATTAATACAATTATTTTTTTATTTTGAAAAAGTAGCCTTATTTTATTATTTAGTCTTTCTGAGGCTTGTGCCTGTTTAAATCAATGGCTTTTATTTTATTTATAAGGACAACACTCACTTCATCCTAATGCTGGGCCAGATAGGGCTGTCACTTTTTCCAAAAATCACATCTGAATGATGTTGAAACTAATATGAAATTCATTTGAAATAATTCAAATTAGTTTTTTTTTTTTTTTTAAGCAGAGTCAGCAAACGGTTTACCTTGACACCACTCCGATGTCATCGTTGCCCAATCAGCATAACTTTGCTCGCTACTTTTTGTCCTTGCAAACATAATGCTACTAGGTTATGTTACTGAGGGGTCAACAGGATGTAACTGGTCAAGTTGACAGTGAATTTTTTCTTGGACCGCAAGGCGAATTACATCAAACAGCCTGTTGTGCTTATTGACACAGTGCACATTGTTGGAGTCAAGCAGGTCATTACAGTTCAAACTTATATTTTCCACAGCGTTCAGACAAATGTTCAAAACTCGAATAAAAAGTGACAACAGCCCTAGGGCCTGAGTAACAGTAGTACTTGTAGTAGCAGTGGTGAACTTGCAAAGGTCAGGTGGCTCTTTCTTGATATCTGTAGTGGGACGTGGTACTTGGGAAGTTAGGTTTGGTACATGGTCTGAAAAGTCTGGGAATATCTGTCCTGGTGAATCAGAGTGGACCCACTACAGGTTCTGTGAAGTGCAGTGAAAACCTGTGAAGACATCTACTGTGGAATTTGATACGATAAATCACGAGACACACATCATGACTAACCTCTACTTGTTGTTACTTCTGCACTCTTCTCTGTATCTTTCACTGGTTCCTGTCTCACCAGTGCAGGCTTACTGCTTTCTCCTTGTCGACGATCCTAAAAAGTCAGAGTCCATTGTTTTATGAGGAGCTATATCATTAATTAATTTAAGCTAACAGAATAGTGGTTTTCTCCTATTTCAGTTTCTTGTGAGATTTGTTGCAAAATGCCAAAAAACACAGATCAGAACTATGCCTTATATTCTTCACCTCTGAATGTGTGAATCGTATTTTTTGTGCAGACCACTTCTACAATACAAGCTCATAATACCTCAATGACTGACAGATGGAGATGTAGTCCATAAAGAACATAGGGAACACTTACGAGACAGAAATCCAACCAAATCAGTCTACTGCTGAGAACCCAGTAATATGGCAACTTCAACTGTCCTGTTCCTTTAGTTTTAAATACTAAATGAAATACTTATACTACACATATCAGTTTGCTTCCTGCTGCTAATGAAATTAGTTTTCAAAATGGAAGAAACTAAATTGTTTGTTGAAAGTATATTATTATCACACAAAGAACAATATCCTGAATAACTACACCACTGTGAAAGTTGAAAAACTGTATATAAGGGGAACTCAGTTTAGGGTAACGATATGTAGTGAATGCTACAAACAGATCTACAAACTACCCATTATAAACTCTGTTGAGGACACATTTCACAATAAAGGAGAGTGCACACCTTTCTTGGTGGACTGGACTGGACTGTGTTGGCTGGTAAGGAGATTATGGGGAAGTCATCTGATAGTGTGGGAGGTGGAGAAGAGGTGGCTGGAGTGCTGGAGGCAGGCGTTCCTTTCCCTCCTGCTTAGATCAAAACAATTAGCAGTGAGTAGAAAAGAAAATTACAGAGCATCACTCAGATAAAAAGTTAAACACACCACAGTACACTGTCAACTTAGCTAAAATCTATGATGGCAATGCAAGTGTTGACCTGATGTGCAGTGGAAGCGGCTGGGAAGGTGTGAGGCACTGTGGGAGAGCTCTAGGTTGGGTGACATGCCCCTGGAGGAAGGGGGCGTGGCCATGCCACACAACGAGGAGGGGCTCCAAAGAGGGTCCTTCCCCCCGCAGGAAGAGTTGAGTTCACAGGTGGAGTTCTGCAAAGGAGACCAGTAGGGTTGCAACAGTATGAGATTTACATGGTATAATAATTTCAGTGTTTGTGACAGAATGGCGACCTGTCCAGGGTGTACCCCACCTGTCGCCCAGTGTCAGCAGAGACTGACTCCAGTTCTCATACCCCCACTACGCGTGAGACCATGTCTTCCTCCCACATCTCCTGGTCCAAGTTTAGTGAATTTTTGTCTTTATGGTACAGGAGCCAAGTCAACGGCAATTTAAAATGCATTAGTTCATAAACTCGTGGGCCTTCTGAGTTCTTCAGAATTTCTGACTGGCTGGCTCTGGAGGAGTGTAACACAGAGACAAATCCTCAGTCAGAGCCCAAGGGGTAGTAAAACACCCAGAATCCCCCCCCCTCATTTGGCAAGCCCAATAACAAAAAGGGACAGACAACATCTCCAAGGCAACCAGCCCTTAAGGGTGTCTACAAAGCGGTGGTAGGGCAAGTTTTGGAGAGGGTGTGTTGTAATGCCTGAAGCATGACTGCTGACTTTCAACTCGCTGATGGTCCACCCACTTCTTCTCTCCTTTTTAAATCACATGGCAGGCAGTCAGTCACTCCTCATTAAGGGCATTGTGGAGGTTTTGGAAAAAAGCAATAAACTCACTACATCAGACAAGTGATAAATGGAGAGCAAGCATAACCCAGTGTACAACAGCTTGCAGTAATCAGAAACTTAACGATGTGGTGCTCTGGTACTACCCTCTATTCATCAGTTACTGAACAATCTTGTGTACTAAACCAAGATTTTGACAGCTTTTTGACTGTGTTATGGATGATCTTACCTGGCGTCTGGAGGTCTGTGGGCTGCGGTAGGAGAACTGTGTCCCTGAGAAGGGGGGCAAGGACAGGGGTGGGGGTGGCGGCTGCCGTGGAGTTGAGAGTGGGGTCGAAGAAGAGCTTCCTGTTGTCAAAAAGACAAACGGTCTGATCAATCTTCCGATGAATGCAGCTAACAACCTGTGATCTCTTCTCTGCTCTTTGACACCACTGTTTGGGGTTTGTCCTTTAAACAACTAATGTGAACAATATCACTAAAAAGGCAGAATTCCTTCATTACAGAAAACTCATTGTGAAAATATAATTAGTCCTCCAACTAACTATTCTTTTCATTACTGACTCAAGGCTACAGACTAGCACTTCATACTCATGGTGCTGGTACCACCAAGTTTCTCAGATGGTGGTACCACCTCTGCTTTACAAAAAGAATATGTATTTTTCATACATTATTTTATATACCCTTACCATCCAGTTTGCATAGCCTGGTTTTATAACAAAAATTCAGAGAGACGAAAACTAATACAGTAGAACACAGTAAATGGGGAAAAAAAAAAAAAAAAAAAAAAATCACTGGAACAACATTCCAGCTCTTTTTATGTAGTCACTGTTGTGCTCTATAGTGTAGCAGTCAACATGATGATAATGATGATGATGATTAGGCTATTATATTTCAAATGAAATATTAACTGATGAATTTCATGCACGCTTTCCTGTTTGTGTATGCAATTTATTTGTAGACCATTTTCTTCTGAAGAATAATTTCTGCTCTTGGCGAAGTCTGTTGGGTTTCATACACAGTTCAGCTCTCTCACTCAACTGGCTAGTGCCAATTCATTTTCAAAGTTAACAGTAGTCTGTTACGTCAAGAAGGATTGATGGTGGGTTTCAGATACAACTATCTTCAAACTGGGACTTCAGTAGATATGATTGGTGCATACGTGCATCTTAAGTGTTTAATCCATTCAGTCCACACTGACTCCGACCCCCCTGCAGTCAGTATGCTTTTGATTAGCTAACTAATGAATCACGTGATCATCCCAAACTAAAACGCATTGGTTTTGTTCAAAACCAGCATCATTATCTTCATGACATGACAGTATAAGTGACAAAACAGAATAGGTCACAAGACACCCTTAAGTCATAATAAACTGGGATCAAACAAAGTGAAACAGTAACTAAGCAGATAAAAAATAAATAAATAAATAAATAAAAATCGAGACCAGCAGGTGGTCAAACCTTTGTTTCAGACTAATCTCACACATGAAGGACCATGAAAATTGGGCATTCACAGCTGGTTATTTTACCCATAACACCTTCACTTTTAATTTTTACCGAAAATGTTCATTGTTATGATATATTAACATTGCGATGCAAGACAGAAAAAACAAATATCAGGCTAAAAGGGTTTTTCCCCCCATGTCAACCACTCCTACTGTATGTTTTCACACTTAAGAGCTGTAAAAGAGCTGCTAAAATACATCTGAATATTAAATGTTAGCCATTACATTTCCAACTCTGACTGAGATACCTATTAGTAATGACAAGCTGTGCATGTTCTAGCAGAACAGTCTGCATGTAAATAACACTACGATAAGACATGATAAGTAAGCAGCCAAAAGCAATCCTCTTTAGTCATAATGACCACAAATTGTCTTAGCCAATTGCAACTTCCTGTCATAACACTACATGTCAATGATTTCATCTTCTTGCTGCTTCTTGTTTATCATGTTCAAGGAAAGAGTATACCTATAAAAATATGGGCCGACAGCATTCTCCTCTTGTTATTATTATTCCCCGATTCCTTTGCTCTGGGTAGTAAGTACTTCCTCAGATATATTATATCATTGCATATATTTGGAATAGTTAACAAGAAATGCCATTGGTATGTTTGAAGTAGCTTAGAAACTGTTTCTGTAACATAATTTTTCTACTACAGAGCACAAATTTATTTTTAATTTTAAAAAAAAATTGATTATGTGTTTATGGAAAAGGAAAAAAAAAAATCACATCAGATGAACAGATTTTCTGTCAAATTTGTGTCATCATCCTTAAAAATCAAGTATCGTTCAGGCTCTATTTTGTTTCACATGCATGAGATGCTTTCTGACCGTAGCTGCTGTGGAGGTCTGTGTACGGGCTGGAAGTGGAGTCTTGTGGTCGCGGGTGGATTTGGGGGTAAAAGTTCTCAGGCATGGTGGCATAGCCCTCCTCACAGGAGGCCTCCTTGGGGTCTAGAGACACTTTGGCACATTCGATGACAATATCGTGGATTTCATATTTTTTCCACCTACAGCAAAGCATAGCACCAACAGTCAAAGTGGAGCAGTAGAGTTGGAAAAAAAAGATTATACACTAGACTGCTTCTCTGCCAGGCAGAACAGCATGGCACTTACCTAGTGGGGTCAAGCTCATGCTCCTTTGTTCCTGTCACGAGTTCTGGGTGTATGCGAACATGTTCAAGCATCGGCTGAAGGTTGGACATAACGTTTATATTAATAATTATTTTGCTACAGAAACTTTAATGCAGAGCAACAAAGCCCAGCAGCAGCAATATCAGCCTCACCTTCACCACCTCCTCAAAGGTTTCCATGTTCTCCTTCATGCCGTAGTGAGATCGCAGGTAGGACACAAAGTTGCAAGGGTACATGCCATACAGACGGTGGAAGAGTGAATAGACACTGGCGTGTAAGTGGATTAGGTAAACCTCTGAAACATGCCCTGAATGTGTTAAAAAAGAAGAGGAAGAAGAAACACAAACTCCAGGATAAGAAATTCAACCTACATAAAAAGCAAGATTATTTTTCCACCCAATTTCCTTTTCTCTGGCCAAATTTGGATTATTGTAGTCCACTTGACCGCCTAGATTGCTGCAAATCCTTCTGCAAGACTATATGCAGGTGACAAAAACACAGTCATAGTTACACTCCCAAAAACCCTACAGCATGTGGCTGTGCAGGTAAACACAACAGCCTAAAAGTGTCTAGTTTTAGGCATTACATCAGTACACTGAGACTGGCCCATTCAAAATGAACTAAGAAGCTTTAACTGCTGAATGTACAAGCACATACACGGGATATGACAAGAGGTCCCTACCGGGATTCTTAAGGTTCCAGGATGCCAGGCGGCCAAAGATGTCAAAATACTCCCAAAGATGTTGTTTCCCAGCTTGGGGGATCATGGGGAGCAGAGTGATCAGCACCAGCACTCCAGTTATCAGCACCACTACATCTGTATCTGTCTGCAAGGAAATAAAGTTTAAGACAAAGACAGAGGACTGTTTCTTGTGTACTGGCACTTCTCACACTCTCCATGGGCTTGTCTAAGGTGAACTTTGTGCATCTTGCCTAGAAAGTGGATGAGAGCAGATTGGCGGTGACAAAAAGCTGCATTCCAAGATTGACCGCTTAGGACCTTTCCACCAAGCTTACAAGTTTTGACACCCCTCTCTCTCTCTCTTCCATCTTTTTCTGCCCTACACATATCCTCCCAGGGCACTGGAGTCGCTGTTTTAATGTATACATGTGTAAGTAAGGCTTTTGCCATAGGCTACTTGCTGTTTTCAGAGAAAGTATGTGACTAATCCATTTTACTCTGAACATAAGAGGTGGAGCGCCACAAAAGCCAAACAGTTACAATGCAGCGAACCATATACCCAGGCACAGTGGTATGACACCCACGGTTCGGATCTGGCTGGTGACCTTTGTCGTAGGTCTCCCTCATTTTCTGTCCACCTCTTTTTCTCTGCTTTTTGTGTTGTAACAATGCAAACAAAACAAATAAATATGATAATATCAAAGAATTTGTGATAGCAACAATTTTCTGCAATAAGTGGTGTGTTATCTGACAGACACTTATGGTGTCAATATTTATGGTCATAACTGCATTAAAAAAAACAAAAAAAACAAAAGAACACAACAGAGGCAGCATTCATGACCCAAAGTAGAATCAACACTCCTACAAGGGAATCATACCATTTCCGCTCCCTAACATAAGGTGACTTGGTGTCAACAGCATGTACAGAACTGACAGTATGTGCAGACTGTGCAGCGGTCTGACTGACATTACCTGCTGTCCATGCATACAGGCTTAAATTAGTTAGTAAGTATTAGGGATTTAAGAATCATGGGTCTCTGGTATTAATCACTACAAATGAGTTGACTGTTGTATGATTTCATGGTAAAGCAGTGGACCAACAGACCAACACTGGCATCACCACACCCCAGCTGATAGCATGCCTGAAAACTTAACCTAATCAAGAATTTAACCAACAAATGTTTGAGTAGCAATACTGTAAGCTTCATCTTTGTTCGGTCTGAGTAGACAAACACAGTGTTTCTCTAAGGTGCAATGATTGACAAAGCTAATCAATAATCGGTCAAACTGGTAAGGCACTAGTTGTTAGAGTTCAACAACACACTTTTGTTGTTTGCCAATATGAACTCCTTGATCTGTAAAAAACACATCTGCAAAAGGTTTACAGAGAGGCTTGAAAACCAGCCTCAAGTATCACTGCAGATGAAGCTAATCCAAACAAATATTCCCTTAAGTAGCTGTTAACAGACATGCTTACTGCCCAACGTACCAGGAAAATCTTGCAGGATGATTAACAGCATGATAAATATCGCTAAGGAAGAGTCACTATACATTGGCTCAATTCTGAAGGCAGCTGGATGAAATCTCTAACCTTCATCCATTCATACACTTCAGCACCTTGACAAGGAGATTTTGTGGTTCGTTGTGTCATAATTGGTCATTACCTTTAGGCATTTGAGTAGTGAGAGCAGCAGAGGGTACCGAGCAATCTTGTGGATCCAGGACGGTTGCTTGCGAATTACATGGCCGAGCAGGGTGAGGGCGGGCAGTCGGCAGACCTGTTTGGTCATACACTCGTTCATCTTGTCCAGAAGGTGCTGTGAGGGAGGAAAGAGAGCAGGTTTAAATCTGTATTTAACACAATAAATACACATGATGTACTGGGCAGAGCATTTGGCTGTTATAGGAAATATTAATTAACTACTACAAAAGACCACTTTGATTCTATAATGACCTCTATAACAGTCCAAACATGGGCATTTCAAGTACATGCAATAAAATCATAGAAGACTACAGAAATAGTGATGATGAGCTCAAAGCCCCACATCAATCACACAAAACCACAATTCAACAAAAGCCCCAAAGCAAATGATTGATTTCAACTTTCCTTACCTTTAACATTACTACTTACTAGTGTCTATTAAAAAGACTCAAAGTTCAAATGCCTATATATGGAATGTGGTAGTGGGAAACAGGAAATAAACTTGTTTTAAATACTGAGAGCAAAGCTGTGGTTTCACCGCAAAGTGGCATTTGCTTGTCCACATGAAAGTGATGGGGCTGAAAGCTTGGTGACACAGTGAATACACACATGAACAATTAAAGCTGACAAGCTAATTTGCCCAGCTGAACTAGGGCTAGTCAGTTACAATTAGGGTTGCAAAATTCTGGAAATTTTCCATGGGAATTAATGGGAATAAACTGGAAATTTACAAAATTGCTGATTAGCTCATAACAGGGAACTTCCTGCAGCATAATCTTGGTTAAAACTTACAGCAGGGCTACTGAGGCCACGCCCCCTGCATGCACTGTGCAGTCCACAATCACATGTAAAGATAATTTCTAGAATCCTGCACACTACAGCAGGAGGACTGAAGCTATACCACTGCCTTTGAGCCCAAGGACTACATCCAGTCAAGCACGCCTGATGATATTACTAGGGCGAATATATTTGATTTATGATATCAAAGTTTAACTGGCCAACACTAAAACAAAATGTGTTTTTATACAGTAGCTAGCTAGGAGGCGGACATGGAGGATTTTGATGGGGTCCAGGAAGAAGAGACCTGGAAGGCTGAAAGGACTGCGAGGAAAAATGCAGAAACTAGAAGGTTGAAAAGCTTGAAGAAATGCTTTCATTTTACATTTTTAATTAATGGAATTTTACATTGGGTTGGCATGAATCATAGGGAATATGTTTATTTTATTCAACATTCATGCTTTTTTGTTGTTCAATGACAGAATACATTAAAGTTCTACTATAAAATGAATCTAAGTCAATAATGTCACTTTTAAATTTGTGTGAATGTCTGCCTATGACTGAACAAAATGTTTATATTTATGTTTGTATATGATACAGTTTGTATAAATGACCCCAAGCCTCCAATAAATTCCCATAAATCCCAAATAGTCCTGTAATTCCCATGGAATGTTTTCAGAAAATTTACCAGAATTCTTCTGCACCTGCAACCCTAGTCAGTCTGTGAGCTTTATCTGTTTTTTTTTCTCTACTGTTCTGTTTTTACTTCCCAGAACATTTTGTTCACCGCTACACAACATTTGTGCAATAAAAGTGTTTTAAGAGGGGGAAAAAGATCTCCAACCTAACAGCCTTACTAACGGCCAATTAGAAAACTTGTTTGCTTATCTTAGTTACTAATGGGACATTAAGTCTACACTTGTTATTTAAAAGATATATTTTCAACCACTGTCCCATTCAGTCAGCAAACTGTAAAACAGGATTCACTTTGAAAGTAGAGCTTAAATACAAGTGAGCCATGACAGCTTCTTCTATTTTGGACTTTGTGGCTATCCAACCACACCAACCTTCAGCACTGTTAAGACAGTATGTCATTCGTCAACAGCACAAATTCATAAAAGTTGAACTTTATGCAGAGCATTTGCACGTATTTATTTCACCTCTTCACTGGACACTGATCACGGCAAAACCATTGAAATTAACAGATTTTACAGTTCCATGAACAGGATTGTGTAGGGGGTCTTTCTCACCTTATCATGTGGCTCTCTGACTGAGGAGAGGATATGTACGGCCTGGGCAGAGTTTGTTTCCAAAAAGTAGCCCACCAGCCCATTCAGCAGCATGGACCCTCGCTCTTCAAGGAAAACATGGAAGAATAAATTGAAAGAATTCATTATTGAGATAGGGAGATGTGAGCACATTAAATCACAAACTTTCAAACCAACAGGGAGCAATGTCAGTAGAAGATATTTCAAAAAGATCATTGCTGTTCAAACAGAGGGTAAATCGCTGAGCACTGATTTGACAATAAATAATCCAAGTAGCCTTACCAGTACTGAGCTGCTCATTGATAAGGCCTCTGATCTCTTCTAGCTGGTGGAGGTCAGAGGTCTCCAGGAGCAGGAAGAGGTCCCCCATGTTGAGCTGCTCCCTGGCCATGGTGGAGGCAGCGTCTCTCTCACAGTGTCCGTCCCTGGCTGCCTGGAGGGCTCCTGGGGCCACCCACCAATACAGTCTCCAGGCACCTCTAAATCCACACCAAGGCCAATTCACAAACATTTGGCAGAATTATGTTGAAATCTGAGCTAGCATTAGTGGTCACATGACAATATCAACTCTGTACTCAGACACATGGCAGTTCTTCAAAGCTGAAACATAATTTCTATGTTATTCTTAAGGAGGTAACTAATTCTTTACCTAATTTACTCAGAATAATACCTCTGAAGAATAAAATGGTTGATGATATTATGGCTATGAAGTGTCATTCATTCAGAAGAAAGTGGGTTTGCTCCCACGATGTTGTTAGAAAACTACAGTATGTGCACTATTCCTCACTTTGGCTCTAATTAACATTAGAACACAGTGATTTTTCAATATGTACCTGCAAATTTCCATGTGTCTGAATTCCCAAACAAACTTCGGTCTAACTTTAATTTACCCTTAACCCCACTGAAGATTGGTGAAAACAATGAAGCACTGTGCAGCCCAGAAAGCCTGATATTTCCCTCAGGGGTGGGTGGAGACCAAAACAAAGCAAAAAGGAGAGTGAATATTGGGTTTGCATTCACCAGGCAGATGTTACACCAAATGAATATTAATGTTACTATTTGTCTAATGGATGTGTATACAGGCAACTCTTTGGTAAAACACAACTGTCATATATAAACCACAGCACAACAAATGTATGACTGATTTTATACATCAACACTAGTGCTCATGAAATGAGGATTATTATAAATGAACCACACACACACTTACAAAAAAAGCTAAACAATCACCCCATACAATTTAGCTCAAATCAAAAAATAATTCAGACAGACTTGGAAGCAAACAAATCATTTACAGTAAATCTTTGCTGCTTACTGGAAACCAGTGCCCTAAATGAGTTGAATTCAAAAGGTACATTTACCAATGATTAAATCCCAGTAGAAATCTGGCCTAATGTGTTTACCACTTCAGGTTATTAGTCTATTTGTGCTGTCTATGACATATTTAGGTTAGAGGCTGAGTCAGCCACTCAAAGTAAAGGAGATCAGGGGAGCTGTGCAAATCTCCATCTGAAAAACAAGCATAAATAATCTTGATAGGCAGGTTGTTATCATCAGGATGTTTGCACCCAGCAGCTTATTCCCTAACAGGGGTAATGAATCAGCACCAGAGAGCTCATCAGCTCTTAAGACCACCTTTCAACATTTAGGCCACAACACACAATGTGCTAGAAGATAATTAGAATCATAATATGGCTAAAACTGATTTTGTTATATGGGTTTACAGGCTATAAACAGTTTCATTAGAGAATCTAGAGACACATGGTACCAAAACTAACATAATAGAAGCTAATTTGGAGAGTGACATAAGAGGAAATTCTTAAAATCTTATTTCCACTAAGGTTATATGTCATATAGAAACATGGCCCTCTGGGGAGGAAATTAGTCTCCCAAGCCACCCTCAAGCATAACAAATCAAAATAAGATAAAATATATTACTGCTGGTTGATTTACAGAGGATTTAAAGGTGCAATTATCACAGGTATCGATCAACTGCTCAGTTATGGGGTAGGTGGGAGCCGAGGTATGGACATGGATTCAAATGTGGTTGTTTTTCCACCTTCATCTTTCAGGGACAGGTCAGTGGCACAAACATGAACCACCCTCGCTGTGATCACAGGCAGGTTACGAACATTCAGAGGACATATAGAAGCTTTATGCAGACTGAGCACATAAATGTTTTACATTTTTGCTTGATAAATTACAAAACTGATTATCCAGTTTGATAAGAAACAACATATTGTTAGCAGTTAATTTTGTCAAGATGTTGGTCAATATTAGAAAAGACAGGGATATGAACCTGCACATATATTTAAGCTTCAAAGTAACTTATGCAGCTAAATAATTTAATTAAATCAGAGGCAACAGTCAATCATTAACTTGCTTTACATAACAGGCACAAAAAGCACACATTCATATTTAAACAGGGGGAATTTTGATGAAAAACTTATACTGGAGTACAAAAGGAAGGGCTCCTCTAATATCTTTCAAAATCAAACTGACAACAGGTCATGTGGTTTAGTTTTGTTTTATCTCATTAGGCTGATACAATAATGGGAAGTCAAACTAGAACTGTCATTTTTAGGCAGTGTTTAATGTTTCAGAAATTACAAAACAATAACACTACAATATTACAGCATTCTGATGCAGAGTTTAGTTAGATCAGCCAACAAATAAATAAAAAAGTCAGTATTTCTCCCTAATTTTATTCCTGTCAGAAAGTAGATTTTCAAACAGCTTTTGGAAAATAAAATGTACAGATAATATATTAATAAATTTAAACTATGCCCATTGTAAACAAACCACTGAATACTTTTTGGCATCTGCTCATGCACTGCATTGTAAAATCCTGACTACAGCTCTGTTATGATGAAGCTAATATTCTCATAAATTAGCCAAAACTGTAACAAACAAGACAGGAGACACGGTGACAGAGAGGGGGCTGAGTCCTGTACAGTGACAGAGGTCGAGGAGGACAAACGATAAAACTGGTTACCCATTTTTCTCCATGGTGACAGTAAAGCCTGAGAGATGGCAGGCCCAGTGAGCACATGCAACAACTGAAAATTAATGATTAATGCATGAAAAATGTTAAACTGAAGTCAGCTTTGACTGCAGCAGGAAGATAAAGCAAGGCAGCATGATGCAGAGAGCTGGTAGGGATGCACAATGAATTATCCAGTAAGGGAAAACCAAGGTGTTTTACTGACATAATAGCGAAAGGAGTGCAGAGTCCGGACAGGCTGAAGTACGAGGCTGGAAAGCGGCAGAGCTTCTGGTCTATGTGGACTGACCACTGGCTGGCTGCTGCCTGTCGTAAACAACTCGCAGAGAACAATGGGCAGGGTTGGGTGTACTTTATCCGATTATAAAAAATTATGCACGCATTGTTTTTTAGGCACACCGAGCGCTAACTGTATGCACACAGAAACGCAGATAAAACCACAATAGAGTATTTAGAGTATCCACTAAATCCATCACTGGGTCTTTCCAAAAACAAGACAGTCCCAGCGCCAAGAGCTAACGTTAGCTGGCAGCACCAACTCACACTCGGTCGGGAATTCATCTTGCCTGTCAGCCGCGTTCAGCCAGCGGAAAAGCAAGTCAGATAGCTCAGGTTTACTAAAACAAGTCATATTCATTGAGATTCACTGTAATAAAACCATAAGATATAAATAACCGGACGTGTTTACCTGTTAGAGTATCTGCACTCCACAGGGCGCCGCCATCTTGAACACCTCACAGCCCATCCCACCGCAGTGAGCCTCCGCTGACAAGCTACATGCAAAACGAATCCCACAAGTTAGCGCCCCGCAAGTCGCAACGGAAACTTTTGCTGCTAATTTTCTAGTTCAACATCAGGCAAAAGCTTATTAATCCATCTAATAAGTCAGAAGTGATGCTTCTATCTGTACTCCTGGCTAAATACTTCGCTCCGTGCAACGCTTAAATTGTTTTCTCCATCTCCCTATTAGTGGAAGGATTAAGTGTGCATAATGCGGTTTCGCGTGACCCACATGTGAAGAGCGCACGCGCAAACCGGTTTTTTGTTTTTTGTTTTTTGCACAAATAAAACATCCTGGTGGGGCACAACAATTAGATACTGTGTTAAATTCTTCACTCTTCAATTCAAAATACATGTAGACGAAACAAAAATGATGTGTTCCTAAGCCAAATATAATAAGTTTGATGTTTTACTTAAAAGTAATTATTTTGCCTTAGTATAATTTTACATAAATGTGAACATTTGACTTAATCCCTAGGGCCTTTTTTGACTATAAATATTTGTTGTAATATTTGTTTTCCCATTCCTAACATCTCCTAACATAGCTAGTTGTCTTTTTCTGACAGAAATTGGCTTCCATACATACTGTAGGTCAAAACACTGTTGCCGCAGTGGTTAGGGGGTATATGATGAGCCATACTATCAATAACAGAAGGTGCAGTGGCCCTCCTCAAAAGGTTGTGCAACATTGCACTGAAAAACGGATGGACACTTGCTTCTGACTTGGCACAATGCTTATCTGTGGAAATTGATGTTTCAATGACTGATCAGACTTTGTGAAGGACACTGCATGAGGTCAGCTTCTATGGATGGCATCCAAGAAGAAAATCATTGCTCATAAAACAGTACAAAACCACTGATTAAATTTTGCCAAGGAACATGAATGATGAATCTTGGCAGTGCATTCTTCGGTCAGACTAGACAAAACCAAAATAAATGTGTTTTGCAGGGGTGCAGCTAGAGATTTTGGGCCCCATGAAAGAATATGACATCAGCCTTTGTGAGGATGTGTGTGCCCACCAAGACCTTCTGCACATACAACAACAACAACCCCTGGTTCACAGCAAAGCTCAAACAGCTCTGTCATTCCAGGGAGGAGGCCTACAGAAGTGAGGACAATATCCTGTACAGCCAGAAACACACTGACAAGGGAGATCAGAGAAATCAGGGTAGCAATGAAGAGCTACTCTGAAAAGCTGAAAAACTAGTTTTCAGCCACCCTAAACACACATATGTAAAAGATCTGTATAAATGATATACCTACTGTAAAAGTGGTTGCTTACTAGGCAAATTAAACATATACAAAATACAGGCTACACACACACGTGCACTGGCTCATAGCAAACCCAGATTTACACAATACATGCTGTATTTATTTATTTATGTATTTATTATGTTTTACATTTATAGTTGTGGTGGACATGCAGGTCCTCTACCATCCCCCAGGCGGTGCTGTGCACACCTTCTTCCCAAAGCCTTGTCAGGAAGAGGGCAGAAGAGATTTCGGCAGACCCCTCACATCCTGGACACAAGCTGTTTGAACTCCTCTCCTCTGGATGGTGCTACAGGTCACTGTACACCAAAACAACAGTTCCTTCCCCCGTGCCATTAGTCTGATGAACAATTAATCCATGCCTATGTGACAGGACACATCAATCACCACAGTGCAATAAACTGTAAATATAATCACTGTACATATCTATCTGGAAGCTTTTACACCTAATATGTGGCACCTATATGTCTCTTTTTCTCTTCAGAATCAGAATCAGAATCAGAATCTGCTTTATTGGCCAGGTGTGTTGGACACGAGGAATTTAATTGTGGTGCACAGACTTTCAATGTGCATGTACATATCCCCATGCAAGGCAACAGCAGGGGCAAGTAAACAGTAAACCAACATAAGGCTGTGTAGTATAACAAACTAAACAGTATAAACAAGCAATAAACTGCAAACAAAGCAAAATAAATAGTATAAACAGGCAGTAAACAATGCAGACAAACAAGGGAATGTTCATTAGGAAATGAGATAAATAGGAATAACAGTTCTTCTCTGGTAAATATAATCCGGGATGGGTTGCAAAAGATCTAGAAAACTAAGAAAAACAAGAAACACAAGAGAGTTTGTGTAACCAAGGCTGCCATTGCTGTCGGTGCCCATTCTTTCTTCTACTGGTTGCACATTTCTTGATTGCACATTTTTCCTATTTGAATACACAAAGTTTTATTTTATTTGACTATTTATTGTTGCCTTACAGAGCAAATTGAGAGCCCCTGTACCTGTACAAGTTCCTTGTGTCTAATCTTGCCTGGCCCATAAAGATTCTGAAGTCATCAGTGATTAATGTTTATTTCTCCATTCAGTTTCCAAGTATAACAACTCAATTTAAAATCTAGAAACCTTTTTATTGCAAAAAAAATATATAGGCTTTATTAAATAATAAATATATCCTAATATTTCATGAACTGTTCCCATCCAGCTTGTGTCAAGATTTAAAATACACACCTTGGCCGCAAGATGTCGCCCTTTGGCTTCTTCCTTTGTGTAAATCTTCTCACACTTAGTCGACTTTTCGATGTACAGGGTGATGACGTTGACGTTACTTTTAAAATATGTATAGCCCATTTTCCCTAAAGTTTTTTAACAGCACAATTTTGTCACTGACTCTCTTGCTTTTTGGAATAACATGCAACACTAAGGGATCCTGCAAAAAAAAATCTGTCATGGTAGAATATCAGTATGCTTTAATAAAAACAGAGTCAACACTGTTAATCTCCCGGACTGGTTTGGTGTATGTATCTTTGGAGGTGCTACAGTCGCATGATCGTTTGGCCATCTAAATCTTGCATACAACACAGTCATACAGTGCATTACTTCGAGTAAATCCTGTAAATCAAACATTGTGAGATCGAAATACCCGGTCAGATTTTTTTGGTTGAAATTCTCTTGGTTGAAATTTTTAAAATGTATTTTTTACATTTCAACCAAGAGAATTTTGTTTTTAATTTATAAGCTATGTTTTTATATTACATGTCTTTCTGCGATCAGCTCAAGAAGGCAGATAAATTATCTTGCGTTTAAGGCGCAGTCCCTGAAAAGTCTATTTATTAACGCACATTTTAGCCTTTAAGTCTAACATACTTAAGAGCACTGTGTGTTTTGTATAACTGTTCCAGGGACAGCAAGGCCTTGTGTTGTTCTACGCAAATTTCCACCTGCAGGTTGGCCTTTTCATTGGCTGAAACCACAGTCAGATTCCACTGCGAAATTATCTGATTGAAAATCAGGGAGGGGAGAGAAGAAAGAGCGACAAGTGTGATGCTTTTACTCTGCTTTGCTTTTCTGACTTTTAGGAAAGGATTTTGTGTACGCATTTTCCTTCGCTGAGCCGATTCATATAAATAAAAAAACAAGGGAATATTTTTTTGCTACACGTTGAACTTCGAAGGGAACCCGTTCAGCTAACGGTGAGTAACCACCGAATGGAAAAGAAAAGTGGAAGCCAAGCTGGAGCGAAAGTTTTGCGAAGTTTTAGGTTACTGGGCTTCGTTTGCATGAGTAGCAAGGTCGTGTAAATTGTTAAAAAAACAATGTAATTGTTTTTAAATAATGTTTTAAATAAGCTTTAAAAATCTTTAGTCTTAGACAAGCTGATGTTACAAATAATTTACTTTGGGCATAGGTTTTAGATCAAATGTTTTATGCACTTTTGCTATAACTGACTTGCTCAGCGTGTTTTTGTCATAAAATAAAGTTTTTAAGCGTTACTTTTTCTGGTGTAGGATCACCATGCCCCGTTCATTTCTGGTGAAAAACAAAAGGTGCATGTCCTATAATATTCACCGATCATATGAAGACGAGCCAAAGGCGCCGATATGTACAGGTAAGACTGGCAAAAAGTAATTTTATCTGTATATGTGAGGAAAGCAAAATCTAGGACAATTAAAAACACTACCGCTGCTTTACTGCTGTTTACAAGCTAACTAATTTGAAGCAGCTGAATGTCGATTTTTAAGCATCTTTAAAAACATATGCATTCATTCAGATAATTAGCTCATACATCGATCTCCAGTACTGAATATCAAGCTATGCAATTGAATATACAATCTATTTTTTATTTAATGTTATTTAATACTGTATGTCTTCAAGAGGAATTGCAGGGTTTTGCTTGTATAATGTATAATTACACAGTATAATGTTTTTTGCTTGAGTCAATCACACTTTTATTTGATGTGGATTTGCAGAAGCCCCACCAGAGGTTCAGAGCACAGACTCTTCAGGTAGACCTCAGTCTGAGGACCAGTCTTCCTCTCCAGATCACAGCTCGTTTAAAAAGGAGGAGGTAAAGCTTGAATGCTCCTTTCCTGTTCATCCTGAGCCAACCAGGCCCCCTGTCGCTCCCACACAGCCATACTACCTAAATGGTGAGCTACCAGTGCATTTATCTCCATCTTTTTCTTCTAAGTCCACAGTATAACTTTTAATCCTGTAAAATTGTTTTGTGTGTGTGCATGTGTACTTTCAGAGCCTCACATGGCAGAATTCCCTCCTTATTACAAGCCATCGTACGCCTGGGAGTCGGTTCCTTCCTCCTACAATCTCCATCAGATAAGTTTCAGCCCCACAGTGCTGCAGCACACCAGCAGTCCGTACAGTGCACACATCAGCCGCAGTCCACAGCCTCAGCAGCCTCTGGACTGCAGCACACACTACTCCCCCACCTCCAACACCTACCACTGTATCACCTGTGACAAGGTATGCACCACATGTTAACCTCACACCTACACAGACAACATGTAGAGACATTTTGGATGAAATTTGTGGCTTCTGGCTTCCAACCATATGCATACAAGCTGTCAAATGTGGACATGTTTTAGACTGGTTTTAAGATTGTCAGCAGCCTTTGCTGATGGACAAACTCTGTTTCAGGTGTTCTCAACACCCCACGGACTGGAGGTTCATGTCAGGAGGTCACACAGTGGAACAAGACCTTTTGGCTGCAGCATCTGCAGAAAAACCTTCGGTCATGCATTCAGTCTGGAGCAGCACATGAATGTCCACTCTCAGGTATATCAGTGACTGTAAAATATTAGCTACTTCATTTTAAAAGGGCACACCAGTGATTTAGAAATGCACTTTCATGAAGTTTAGGGGACCTGCGAGAGACAGAGACAAAGAGAATGGCCCAAATCAGAGCAGCAGAAGCTAAGTTACTCAGAATTTTCATTCATACCCTTGATTAGACTCTCCATGCCTGGTAAATGTACACATCTTTCAATCTCAATGACTCCAGTTGGTAACCGCAGGCTTTATGTTAAACGTTTGTCTTCTCAGTGTTCAAGCTTAGATGAGCCTGGTGACATCACTATGACATGATAATGATAATGACATCATCAGGGTTATTTTCTCAGACTTGATCAGAGCTCCTCCAGACACACAACTTTTAAAAAAAGGTTGTTCTTTGGCATTTTTGTCTTTCTCTGATCTATAATTCTATGACAACTGGGCTGGTGAAGATCATGTTATATGATCAGGGCAGCTACAAAACAAACCTTCTGGTGAGGCTGTTTTGCACCTGCTGCTTCCTAGGCTGAGAATGAATTTTGACATGCAGCTTTCCTAGCATTCTGCTCATTTGTTGATAATTCTGTAACAGTTTTCCTGCTTTTTGACTTTGATCAGGAAAAAAGCTTTGAGTGCAAGATGTGCGGCAAATCGTTCAAGCGGTCCTCCACTCTCTCCACACATTTGCTCATCCACTCGGACACAAGGCCTTACCCCTGCCAGTACTGCGGCAAGAGGTTCCACCAGAAGTCTGATATGAAGAAACACACATACATTCACACCGGTAAATATGTTCAGTTATTTTATTTTGGGTGGCCATATTTTTATGGTGCTACTAAAAAACTAAAACCATCTGTGGCTCCTCTTGCTGTAATCATCTGCTTCCCAGGTGCAGCATGCAGGAATCGTTTCCAGGAGTAATATAACTGCTGATAAATCAGAAAAAAAACGTAAACAAATGTCCTGTTAATTTGCATATCCAGTTTTCCTACTTCATGCAGAGCTCTATGAAAGGAAGTCTATGCAGTCCACAGTTTGTTAAGTGCTTGTCAAATCTGAACAATGTCATGCTTCTTCACTAATACAACAAGGACATGATGCACTATTTCTGGTGTGGGTGACAAGCCTCATCTGCACCTCCTTTATTTAAATCATTTGAAATTCATCCAAGATTTCACTATTGTGTGTTTAATGTTGTAGGTGAAAAGCCTCACAAATGCCAAGTGTGTGGTAAAGCATTCAGCCAGAGCTCCAACCTAATCACCCACAGCAGGAAACACACAGGCTTCAAACCGTTTGGATGTGACCTTTGTTCCAAGGGCTTCCAGAGAAAAGTGGATCTCCGCAGGCACAATGAGAGCCAGCACGGCATGAAGTGAGGACAAAACGAGCATGAGACCCACAGCTTCACAGTGGCAAGTGTTTGTACATGCACAGTAAAATTCTGTTAAAACAATGTGGTCATACTGATGTAATCTAAAAATCTGATGTATTTTGTCTTTATAAATAAGGAAGCTGTGAACTCAAATTCTGATTGAAGGTGATTTAAATTCAGGAAAATGTCAAATGTATGAAGAATTGTTTAAAATGCATTTAGTTAATATATTGGAAGGCATCTTCTTTTAAAGGTGTGTTTAGAAGTGGATGAATGGAAGATGTCATTTATATTTAAAATATGCTTTTGGCATTTTAGTTAAAACAACAACAACAACAATAGCAAGAATGTCACTTTTAGTTTGCTATAATTTAAGATGTGCTCGAGCAATGTAAATTAGCCAGAGTCTGTATGTGTGTTGATACTGTAAGCGCTTTGCATGAGCAGGAAAATCCTTGGTTGTTCTGTTAGAATAGAGCCAAATACAATATGCAATCTTGCTACAAGGTAAAATACATGCACAGTGTTTGTCTAAGATGAAAGGATGAGCACTGTAAATACACTTTTTCTCCATGTTTGATTCTTTCCATGTGTTTTTCTGACTCACTGTCCTGTCAGAGCAGGATGTAGCATAACTACATGGCTGTGGCCTCAGGTGGAAATCTCTTGCAGGACCAGAGATAGTGTGTGAATTCAAATAACACACCTGGAACGCCATGCAAATCCGAGGCCAGGGAGCTATTCATTCCTGAGAGTTTGCTAGAAAGTGGATGAGGGAAAGTTTTATGTTGTCACATGAGATATGTCATTGTGTATGATATTCAGCAGCTTCTTTGCATTTACTGGAGGGACAAAAGCAGCTCTAGAGTCTCAGTAAAAAAATCAAAATTGCACAAATGGTCAGGTTGACCATAATGAATTTTGGCCACACACACATGCTTGCATCCAGTGTAGTTGCTTGGGGGGCAACAACCGGAAGGTTAAAGGTTCAAACCTCAGTGCCTGCAGTCCATGTATCAAAGTGTCCTTGGGCAAGACACTGAACCCCCACAAGTTGCCTGTGATGGCGGCACATATACACACAGTGGCCTGGGGCCCTCGGCTCCAAACAAAATTTCGCTGTACGTGCTACAATAAAATAAAACTTCTTCTTGGCCTTCATAGGTCACTGAGTCTAATGGGATACAGGAATTACTAAGAGGCTCTTGAAGAGGGATTGATTACTTAGTCAACCGTCACCACACCCAGACTGTTGGATTACTTCAACAAACAAATGGCAGCTCTAACGAAGACTCACCACCTTCCTCAAACACCAAACCTGTAAACTGCTTGAGGCAAATCAGATCATTACTTGAGCTGCTTCAATCTGACACGAAGCAGGTGAAACAGCGTAAGAATTTGTAAAAATGGTTTTTAAAGACAGACCAGCTGCTGCATTAAAAAAAAAACTGGCTAAATGTACTGTATAGTATATAGTACTGAAAAATGCATAATAAAGCCTAATTAAAATGTCTATCTTGCCTTATTTTCCAGGCTTTTTGAGAAAAGTTAGCTAAATTAAACACATCACAATTAAGCAGCTGATTCAGTTTTTGAATGTCTGTACACTACATAATGGCAGGGTTTTTGTTGGGCCATTTCATGGAAAAGTGACTCTCTTGAATTATTATAATTTTGACAGGACAAAATAAAACTGGACTCACATTCCTCTTGACCCAAATAACACAACTCAGACGACTGATTTTCCTCCTGACTGTTTTTAAATAACAATCCTCGATGGCCAGAGAAATGCCGGGTCTCAACTAAAGATCTTTGAATTCTAGCTGAATGAAATCTAACTTAGCACGATTCACAGAAAAACCTTGGCATCCACATGCTTAGATCATCTACAAAATAAAAGATGGGATCACAATTTCAAGTGAAAATTTGTCTTCAGGGGAAGTCACTGCTGTGGAAATCAGTGTCTGCACATGGAACAGATGAGACATGAGGGCTTACTGTCAGGCAAACAAATCTGAGGGCTTTATGCAAAATTTGTTTATACTACCAGGGCAACAGGACTCGTTGGAATCCTGTATAACAGTTAGATCTGCTGCTGCATCCTGGTGGGAAGAGACAGGGAAAATCAAAATCCTGCACAGGTAACTAAGAGAAAAGACAGAGGATCATATTGGGTGGGACTAAACAAACAGGACGTAGGTCCTGAAAGGGGAGGGGTGATTCTGTTGAGGTGGCCTGGGGGGAAACGGGAGAAAATGAAGAAAGCGTGTAGGCCTGCATACACCTGCCAAATTCTTTCACTGATGAAGAGGGGTATAGGTGTGAAAACGTGAGGGTTTAAGTAAGAGTGGCAGGAACTGTGCTGGTGTTGTTGTGGTTATCCAGCCCTTGTTGATTTGCATATGGGTGTTCCCTAAGGTACTATGGTATCCTAAAAGTTGCAATTTTGCTTGATTTTCTTTCTAACTGTTTGGCTCGTATTAAGCTTAACCTGGGAACAGCCAAAAGTACTGGAACAAAAAAGGCTTTTACATGTAAAGGTACGAAGATATGGAGCTAGTTTTATATTTTAAGTGTTGTTTGCAGAGTGACATATATTCATTATTATGCCTGCATGTTTCTGCGTGAACAATGGAGTCACTGCAGAATCTGCCACCAGAAACAGCCTCAGCATTAGCAACCACTGGTGATCTACCAAATCTGTTTCACACAGTAAAGACAACCAACAGATTAAAAATCAAGATTCAGGGCCATGTCTTGCATGCCCCAATGCAAGTGTGGCTCTGTCTGTCAGAGGCCCCCCCACACACACACAGACACTAGGCAAAACAGAGCTAAAATTTGCTTTGCAAATTGGTTCTATGCAAATGAATCCTAACCAGTACTGCGGAAATGCTGTAGGATGGGAAGATGGCTGAAGTCACCTGAGGCAACAGTGACACATTCATGGCAGGCAGCGGGAGATCGCAGAGAAAGGCCACTTTCTCCTTGTGAGATCAAACAAATTTCAGGGGAATCTGAGTCATTATTTACTGTTATGAGACATCTATCACTAACCAGTCCCTCACAACTTGTGTCTCCAACTGGCTCTGTTTTGGACATTCAAAATCTTCCTACTGGCTCTACATTTAATCTATGTTGTCTGGTTCAGCAATTTAGGATCAAAATAATTTACTTTTCTTGTTTCTCGGTGTGTATTGCAACATTCTTACAAGAATTTAAACAGAAACCATTTCTGTCCTTCAGCTCAAAAATAGAAAATGACCAGTTTGAGACCAAGACTACTAGTTCATTAGGTAGAACCTAACAGTAGTGAAATAACTGGATGGTCTCTTTCTGTGGCTTTCTAAAATTAAAATTCAGGAGCGTGTGGCTTTTATTACAAGATTAAATTAGGCATGATAATATTTTTTTATTAAATGCCAGGGGAACACTTGTCCTCCATGGGACCTAAAACAGCACTAGATAAACACACAAGAGGAAATGCACTGTGGACAAATTTATGGAGTAATGAACTTCAGTTTATGAGTTTTCTTGTTGGACCGACTCACATCAAACACATTTTATTAATAGACAAATGCAACAAAAAATAAAAGTAAGCCCTAAAATGAATAAAACATAGAATTGTGTTGTGTCTGTAAAGTCAGTGTTGAATGAAATGCTGCTGATCCATCACTTTGTTTTTTTAAAACTGACAGAATGGTCCAAACAGAAAACAAAGCCAGCAGCAGATTTCCTCTGGAGAAAGTAAGATGCTGTATGTTCATATCCGCAGTTTTGGGGTCTGATACTGTTTGACTGCCAGTGGCACTGTGTTGTGGTTGTGCCCTATAGATAAGTACAGTGATGACGTTTACAAAACGCCACACCTACTACGTGGCTTACAAGAGAGATGAGGGGAAAGCAATAAACATTTCCTGTGGTTGCTATAAATACTATATTTTGTCAATTTTGAAGCTTAATGGTTGTTGAATTCTTTGTCCTTGTCACTGTGTGTCTTCATTGAGCGCTGCCAGTTACTAAAGGCTTTATTCACAGCTCATTATTTTGTAACAAAGATTTATTTATTGACACACCCCAAAATGGAAGAGTCTGTGTGCTGATAAATAATGTCAGAGCATAAACTATGGATATGGTGTAAACTGCAATGGTGGAGGCTGATACTGGCTGGTGTGTCCTGGGTAGGCTACACAGTAGCCTTGGATGTAAGCAGAAGCCATGTGACATCCTCCTCTGTGTCACTATGTTTTCCTGTCAAAACTGTCAGATAAAGGCAAGCATAAAAGTGCCTTTTTTCATTGTGGCTCTGGGAATGGCAATATCTAGTGAAATGTCTTAATATCTATTGGCTGAATTGCCATTAAATTTAGTATGGAAATTCAGAAAATAAATCCTGATAATGAACATCTCCTCTAAGCAATTAAATGCACCCTTGATCCACTCAGTAAACACAGTGGTTTTGGTGCTACAGCCTTACTTGATCTGGTATGACCAGTTATGTTAGTAAATCAACGAACACATTAAACTAGAATGATGAACATGGGGAACTTTATAAACAAATGTTTTACTTGCTTAAAATGTTAGCATTGTCACTGTGAGTATGTCACCATATAAAGTAGCATTAGCTCAAAGCAAGCTCCTCTGTGACCAAGTACCTTCTCAGGGAGGCACTAGCATCCACTGGTGTATTGTACTGAACTATATATTCTTAGTATTTTCTTGTGTGACAGCTGTGGGCAAATTTTCACATCACAACCACTTGTATAAAAAAAAAAAATACAGCCAATGCAATCACTGATCATCTTTCATTTTGCCTGCACAAAGTGGATAGGCTTTGTGGGTATGACCAAATGGCTGCATCACACATCCAAATATGGCCTTACATATAAACTACCTTTCCAACTGACAAACAGCCAGCTGCAGGTCCAGAGGCATGAAGGTCCAGAAGTTGAAGGGATGACAGGAGATATGGGACTTAAGTGAGAAGTCAGACTGAATGTCAGCACAGGGGTGAAATCTGAAGGCAGCAGGCTCTTCCAGGGTGAGTCAGCCAGTTTAGGCTGTCTGATAACCTTATCATGGCCTCTCCATGCTCTAACGGTTTGAACAGGCCAGAAGAGGCAGGGAGGAGTGGACAGGACTTTGACTAAGATAGCACCAAAAGCTGGATGAACATTCAATGTAGGAGGGCCCCCCCTGGAGAAAGGGAGAAAATAAAGACATACAGAGATCATCAAAATCTTCACTCCACCACAGCACACAACTGATTGTCAGTCAGTGCGTTCTGTACCCACCTCCTTAATAAACAATGAGCTTCAACCCATGGACCTGCAAAGGCTAAATATTGCTATTTACTGTATCTCTTTGCTCTGATAGTATTCAGTGAAACAGTAGAACACCTACAAGAACACATTTAATAGCGTGAATAGCAAACACTGTGTCAAAACAAACTGAGTTAAATAAATTGCAAAGAAAAAGACTTTCCAGAAACACATTGATTGTCTAAGAACTGTATTATAGAGAGTTATGATTTAAATTGATATGGACCAGTTCTAATGTTCCTGGAATTGTCAAGTCTGTCCTTTAGAGTAAAGTTTATCCATTAAAAAGTGGAGGGTACCTGACAAACTCAAGTTTTCCACTGTTACAGTAAAACATCCTCATGGGTATGATGCCGAAAGTGATAGGCTCTTTTCACAGAAATCATTTATTAAATTTGTCATAGTAGGAAATGCACACACTAATAACAGTAAGCTGAAATTTAGAAAGGCATCATTATATTTTTTTATTATACTTGTGCTTTTGCTATTCAACAGTAATGTGTGCAGTGAAAAGGGTCCATTGTCGTAGCCAGAATCAGATAATCATAATCAAGCCAAGTCAAGTCAAGATTTTTATTTGCCATGTATGAACAAACAGACAGTCTAGGCATATAGGAATTCTTGTGCAGCTCTTTTTTGGAGTCAGGTAAGGAGTCAAAAGCCAGAAAGAACACTTAGTCAGTATCAGTTTGATCCTTGTTTATCCAGTATAGAAATTGATCCAGGACCTGTTAGCCTACCTATTAATTAATTAACTGCTTTTCATCTTTGAACTAATCTAGGATAAACATATCCAAGACATGTCCCTGTACTGGAAAAACATGAATGCAACACCATTAAGTTTATATTTCATTAGGTGTGGACAGACAGTTATGGAAGTTACAGTATTTTTTCAATCTATTCAACGTGAATCCAGCATTCCAGCAGTCAACTTGAACCTTCAGTTCCATTATCACACAGACATCTGACATGACAAAACAAATACAAAAAGGCACCAGAATGCAAGACTGTTTAAAAAAGATAAAAGAGAAAATTCTAATAGCCCAACTCCAATGAAGGTGAAAATATGATTGCTGTAGACCCATACTGTTAAAATCTTGTGTTAAGCCGTGTCCCTTAAAAGCATGTGAAAAGGAGACAGACTAGAATCAAAGTAAATACAGTGTCAGACGAAGTTTCATACCAATAAAATATTTTTAACTATTTTTTTTAGATTTTTTTTGTTACTTTGCACTGGGTCAATTTGACCCAGAACATAACAGGAAGGTTAAATAACTTTGTAAACACACAGGCATAACTATTCCTTCAGTCTCTTTTCTTCTCTCAGGGGATGACAGTATGTTGACAGTTCTTGGGAGGGACAGCACACAAATCCTATTTAATTTGGTCCCTGTGACAACAGTGTCTGTCTCCTTCTGACAATAGATGTCTTTCCAGCAGTTAGAAAAACCCTGTCATGAGTATAAAATAACGATACATAGATAGCTTGTTCAGACAGACTCTTGAAAGAGCATTCAAAGGGATTCAGGAACTAGTGTTGTTTACCTTTAATAGAGGTTCAGTGATATTCCCATGGCGCAGAAAATCTCCTTAGTCGACTGCATTTTGGTTGGTTATTCGCCGCCACCGTGCGGCCAAAATCCGTTTAGCAGCAGCCATGTTTTGTTACGCATAGTGAGTTGTTTTTTGTTGTTGTTGTTGTTTTGTTTTTGTTTTTACCGATATTTAGTAGAAAGCACACAGTGCAAGGGACATGGGATGGTCTGCATAATCTAAAAACAGTAGGCCATTTAGCAGTGCATTATTTAAGATCTTTATAAGATAAGATCTAAAAGAAAAAGTAGAAGAACAAAGGGCAGAATTCCAACATAATCTAGAGGAGGATCGACAAGATTTGGCAACTGGATGTTCAACTTAAATAGTCATATTAGTTGTTGTTGTTTTTTTTGTTGTTTTTTTGTTTTTTTTTTGTAACCAATGGGTCCGTGCATTTTTGATAGACAAAGGAGAAAAACGTTTGGGTCGAGAGGAGCTCGTGGAACTATATGTGTGTACAAGCGTTTCCGCTCGGTGTTATTTTGCGCTTGGAATAGTTCACGCCGATATAACTGGGGGACTTCACGAGTGTTTCAGTGTGTTTTCTTATATGTGATTTCTTGCTTCGCTGCCAGTATGGCAGATTCCACGGAGCCGAAGCTGGATTTTTCGCTAAAAGAGCTGACAATTTCTCGTCAGAGTGAAGCTGTGCCCGGCAGCTCGTTCACCGTGGAGATGCGGAACAACAGACTGGTGTGTGTGGAGTATCCGGCGGTGGTTACCAGTGTGGACAAGATGCTGGAGACTCTCGGGGGTGAACAAGCAGTGTCCAAAGTAAGTAGAGCACAGGTCGTGCGAGTGTCACCAAAAAGTTTATTAGCTTTACTTCGAGTACCTCAGCACGTCTCACATACAGTTAGCTTTAGCTACAGTTCACAAAGCCTCGTTTATCTCACTAGGCTATAGTTTTATTAACGTCAACTTACTGCTATCTACATAGTTTTGTAACGTGTATTATCATAAGATCGTGTATTGATTGGGATTTTGAACTTATAATAACATTGCTTGATAGTTAGTCATAATGCTAAGTTATGTGACAGAAGAGTGTCAGCAAGAATCAAAGGAAAGGTGTACAAGACAGTAGTGAGACCAGCTATGCTGTATGGGTTAGAGCCTGTAGCAGTGAGGAAAAGACAAGAGGCAGAGATGAGGATGTTGAGGTTCTCTTTAGGAGTGACCAGGATGGACAGGATTAGGAATGAGCACATCAGAGGGACAGCTCAGGTTGGTTGTTTTGGGGACAAGGTCAGAGAGGCCAGATTGAGATGGTTTGGACATGTGCAGAGGAGGGATAGTGGTTATATTGGTAGAAGGATGGAGATGCAAGGCAAGAGGTCAAGGGGAAGGCCAAAGAGGAGATATATGGATGTGCTAAAAGAGGACATGAAGTTAATTGGGGTAAGAGCAGAGGATGCCGAGGATAGAGTTATGTGGAAACAGATGATTCGCTGTGGCGACCCCTAATGGGAACAACTGGGAGTAGAAGAAAATAAGCTATATGACTCTTTTGACTGGCACTAACATACATGTTTACTTAAAAAAGATTAGTTGTCTATAGTCTCAAACAGGCAGGAGCTTTAGGTTCATTATTTGGCAACTGGTTTGTGGTTATTTGATTAACTGTAATTTTCTGAAGTGTTCTGGGTTAAAATGGGCCCTGAAAGTGGACAACCTATTAAACTTGCAGGTGTCATCATCATTGCTTGGGCTGTTACTAATGCATTAATCTGATACCTGTCAGTATTTCCTGTGAATCCACAGACCTTTGCTCACCCTAACCGGCGTCTTGAGCTGCGCTACAGACCTCAGGACCCTTTCTGTCACTCTCTGTGTGGAAACCGCTTACCGTCCAGCAACCTCCTCCTCAGGGTACGGCGACGGGTGCGTAAAAAGGATCCCCAGGATGCTGAGATCCGCATGGATATACTTGGAGTCATAGGAACAACATATAAATTCCAAGGTTAGAATAAAGGTCTTCTGGTGTATGAAGTTTTTCAGCATTTCAAAGCCACAGAATATGAAATCAATTTGGTAATTTTAATCATTATTTGATCATGGCAGGAAAAAACTGACTGAACAGTTTTGGAAAAACAGAAGAGGTTGGCTGTTCTGAATACATGTTTGTTCTTTGCAGGGATGGCAGACTTTCAGTGCCTTGCTGTGCATTCAGAGAATGGAAAAGACATGTCTTTATATGACAAAATCATCCTTCACAAAACAGAGAATCAAGAGTTCTTTGAGCAGTCAATGCCTTACTTTCTTCCCCCGGCCATCTTCTCACGCCTTGACAGTCCTGTGGATTATTTCTACCGGCCTGATGTCCATCAGAGGTCGTTAAAGCATCATTTACTCAGTCAACCTAAGAGCTTTTGCATGTTTTGCACTTTTTGGTCCTGTTATCCTGTTGATCTTTTTTTATTTTCTTGTAAGCCAAAAGCATACACTGATTATAAGCCTAAATTGGCCACAATGATTCATACAGACAAACACCAGGGAAATAGAATAAGTATATTCTGATAAGCTGCATCAGCATAACAGTGAGTTTAAAGATGTAAAATTCCCAATACTAACATTCGATATACTAACAGATATAAAATAAATCAATTCAAAATTTTTACAACACAGCAGCATAATCCATTTCTTCTCCTTTCTGTTTCTAGCCAATTGCCCATCAGCAAGAAGAACTTTATTGGTTTGGCTCGCACTCGACGGCCCCATAATGCCATTTTTGTCAGCTTTAGTGATCCAACTGTGCCCACTGAATGCCTTGAGGCGGCCAAGGTTCAGTGGGCACGAGTCTGCCTGAAGGAGTCTGATAAAGAGGCTGAAGAACACTTGAAAAAGGTATGCGTGCTGCTGTAACTGTAGTCAGTGGTTACAGGAAACACAAAACACCTTTTCTTCATTAGGGTCACTGGCTTACAAAAGGAAAATATGCGTCATCATTCAGCTCAGCACAACTTTGCTTCTGACACTGCTGAAACTCTTTACTTGATTGTATATAATTTGCCTCATATTGTGCAGTGACTTGTATTCCAGTTATTTTTCCCCATTGGACCATTTTGTACAGTCACTCTGTTTACCCATAATAGTCAACAATTTTCACTCCAGCAATGGCATCTGCTCAGAGCTGGAAAATGTTACACAGGTACTTACCATCATTTTATCTTATCTAATGCCAAATTTTTTCTACTTAGATGTTTGAGAGTCGGCCCATCTGGTCACGGAATGCAGTCAAGGCCAACATCAACATCCACCCTGATAAACTGAAATTGCTGCTGCCTGTTTTTGCCTACTACATGGTGAGCTGGAGGGCACGAATATGACTGGTAGAGTGAGTAAAGTTGCATTTCAGAAGAGGAAAAAAACGTGTTCAGTGCTTTTATTGTATTGTATTTTACTTATTCATTTTTTTTCCTTTTGGCTGTTGTCATATATTTTGAAACTGTGAAACTGAAATGAAAATTGAGCACTAGGAGTACTTACTGAAGCCATACTGACATGAGGCTCTGCAGCAGCAGAACAGACAGTCTGCTGTAACAGAATTATGAAGCAGATTTTATTTAAAAATGTAATAAAATTATTACGGAGAATAATTTTTTTCAACCTCAGGCTTGCTTTGATAGGTAACAGGGCCGTGGAGAAGTCTGTGGGTGAGGCTGGGCTATGACCCCCGAAAGAACTCGGAGTCCAAGAAATACCAGCTGCTGGATTTCAGGATCCGCTGCAGCACCAAGCACGGTAAGAGCCTGAGGCAGCGCAGCATGAGAGTTAATTAACATTTATTACTGCAAGATAGTGGCTGAATGCAATGAAGTTTTATCCAAATTCATTTGTTACATTGGAGTTTTTCGTTACTACTAGCAACAGTAGTATTTAGTGATATTGAATAATGTTTTTTTTCTTTGAGTTTTTTAATAAAAAGTCAAGACCTCTCTGCCTCACACTGACTGTTGGTCTTTTTTTTTTCCACTTTTAGGGTATTCACTCTCTGACATGCCAGTGAAAGCCAAGAGGAGCGCCCTTAACTACAGTTTACCTATCACAGTCAACAAAACAGGTGAGTGGGTGAATTTATTAAGTTGTATTTATTTAGTAAACATGAAGGTCAACAAGTCGTTTTCACAGCACACATTTTGACTCCTCTTAGCAGGAAATGCACGAGTGTTACTAGTAACATTAATAACTAGTAGTTAGTAACACAAGTGTCACCACAAGTCGTGACAATGAGTCAGCATGTACAAAACCAGGATCCTGAAACTGAAGCAGCTAAATAGAATTCTGCCATCATTAATTTTAATTTTATTGTTTACACTTATGTGTTTTCTAGCTGTCCCTGGTAGGCTAGTGGTTAAGGTGCAGCGCTCTCGCCGCTGTGGCCCGGGTGGGAGTCAGGGTTGCATCAGGAAGGGCATCTGGCGTAAAACACATGCCAAATTTCATTGATTCGCTGTGGCAACCCCTAAAAATGGGAAAAGCCAAAAGTGACTTTCTTTACACTTATGTGTTTTCTACTGTGACATGTCAAAAAGTCTTCAGTGAGGAAGACCTGTAGAGAATGTGAAGGTACACCACACCATGTTGAATGTTGGGACAGGGGCGCCGTTTTGGGAGATATGCGCAGATGACACAAACACTGTAGAAGAATCCATTTCTGTCCTATCTGTGCTCAGACTGAACAATAAAGTGGATGTTTGGACATAGTTGAAGTATCTGCTACTGTATGTAGCTCTATGGGATAGTATTTATTATTTAAATTAGCTTATACATATTTGTAGTGTATATTTTTATGATGGAGCATGATCCTCACAAAATGTTGCTTTACCCAAAATTCAGCACAGCATGATGACACCTTCACATTCTCTGTTGAGGTTTAAAGTGTCTCATTCTGTCCAAAGTAACAAACAGAAAGTAGTCTCTAGAAGTCTCAGTCAATTCTTGCAAAATATAGTCAGGGCAGAGAAAGTATCTGGTTGCTGATTTGCCACATGTATATTTGGATTTAGAGTAACGGGTTACATCCATGTGTATGTACATATGAATGGCCCAATTTTTTTCACATAACCTGGTTTGTCTGAGTAACCTTATCTGTGAGCATGTGAACACACGAACTGTCAGTAATTAATGTCTCCAGTCTTGTCAGCTAGCATTATATTCTCCAGTGTGAAAAACTCAGCTTACTACCAGTAACAAGTGCTTAGTAATCTCCACCGTCTTGCTGCTGTTGGTAAGGCAAAAAGACAGTGTTTAGGAAAAACTACAGTGTTGGGTTTTTTTTCCCCAGGTCCCCAGCCAGCCAGTGTGCTGGATCTTCCAGCTCATGAGGGTTCGAGCACCAGTCGAGATCCAGTCCCAGTCACATACCAGCTGAAGGTCAGTGAATGTTCAGTAGAGCAGTTATGTGAAAGCATTGTTGGAGTATGATGCTAACATGCTAAGGAAAAGCTAAGCTTTTTTTGCTTAGCCGGTACTTTAATAAATGAGATTTAGTGGTGGCATGAATAGAAAATCAAGTATATAACAGGTTGAAGATTATATTTTGTAATTATTCAAATCAATGCTGTCTTTTTATTTGATAAGTTTTGAGCACTTTGGATCTCAGTAATTAAGGGTTGTCTCATCTGTTCTGAGATAGTCGAATGCACCGGCTGTAACAATGTCTAATGGGGAGGGTATGGGGAAGCTTTCATCACACAAAATCTATATGATCCCAGCTGCATTATGTTCTGCTCTATATTTTGCCCTGCAGGAGTCATCCTACATTTTCAGAGAGGGTATGCTGCCTCCTCACAGACAGATGTTTTACCAGCTCTGTGATTTGGATGTGGAAAGGTACATTACTGATTATACCATTCAAACATCCACAGTGTGGGTTGGAAAAGCATGTGAGCCACTAGTAATGACATCGACAAAAGCTAATTGGAGTCGGGAGTTAGAAACCAGGATGGAGTTCAGTCAGTGAAACCAGGAGGAGATGTGGGTTAGATCTCCTTTGGCTTCTAAAAAACACTCAAATGTTTTGACATACTGTTTAACAGAAGCACCTGCTGATGAAAACCATGAATCACAAACGAATGATCTCAGAAGACTTAGTGCCAAGAATTGTTTGCCAGCTCTACTGGGACAAAATTTTATGGACTCCACGCTGAATTGTTTGGGAAGAACACACTGCACAAATGGTGCATAATAAGGGCAGTGCATATCAACATGAAAACGTCCTCCCAACACTGAAGTACAGTGGAGGAAGCATCATGATTTTGGGCTGGGAAAGGGGAAAATGAATTCTCAAGTTTATCAGGGTATCATACAGAATAATGTCAGGGTGGCTGTCCACCTGCTGAAGCACAGTAGAAGTCGAGTGATGGACAATGACTGAAGTGAATCTACTAGAGAATGTCTTCAGATTAGGAAAATCCAACCCTTGGAGTGGCCCAGCCAGAGCCCAGAACCGGACCCAACAGAGATGCTGAGTTTAGAGAGTCATTCACACCAGACATCCTAGGAATATGTCTGTGCTAAAGCAGTTCTGTGACAAAGAATGGTCTGACATTCCTCCAGAATACAGTATAGGTCTGATTCACAGCTACAGGAAGTCTTTGTTTGAGGTTATTACTGCCAAAGAAA